TGGGTGGGCATGGACTGATGACTGACCGACCGTCTGAAAGTTGCGTGTTGGTAGTCTGCGTTACTGCCTTGGGTGTAGGGGCTGTGGGGTTGGCCTTTGGCGCCGTGGTGTCATGCAGAATTAGGACTGGGGTCAGGGTGGGGTGCGGTGCTTTCGTTCCATTTCTTACACGCACCCTTAAGACGTATGCGCCGACTGCTAGTTGGGCAGGTTGTCATGACACAAGATTGTTGCACTACACTTTGAATATTTATGAGTGCAGTTGGCAGCCATGTCCGTCTGTGGTGATGTTCCTGCAGAGAAACTTTGCGAGAGGTGGGTAGAATTGAGGTTGTGCACAAGAACGTGCGGTGGATTGTAGAAATAATGTTGGGCATTACGATTACATGAGTTCATATACACGCCGCTGACCCACCAAAAGGCAACCGCAGCGCATCAACCCTACATTGACGCCTTCCAGTGAGAGCTCCGAAAGCACTGAAACCACGCAACTTAGCACCGTTGACTCAAACATCACAATCATCGCAATCGCCACAACCGCCCCCACACGCATTCCCACATCCCGTCCCCTTCCCTTCCCTATACCTGCATTTAAGTTACTGCCAACACCAATCCTGGCACCAGGCGACTTTTAAGGCAACTAGATAACATGAATTTCTGAACTGGATTTTGACACACATTCTTACTTTACCATCCCATTTCTCATGATCATAATTCCACCTCGACTACTTTCGAAACTTGTATTCCTTAGTAAATTGATCTGTATTTGTTGTGGCTTTATCGACTCAGCGAACAAACAACCTAGTAGCTGTTTCGCATTTATTTGACACAACTGGCGTTTAGACATCCCTTCTTACCCATATTGTACAAATATTATGCAAACAATCACATACTCTAACGGGACTGTAAGCAGTCCACAACCATACGTGATAAGCTGGACATTATGAAAGTGCATTATTGGCTGCATTTACCGGAATGATAATAAAGAGCACTGATATAAGGAGTGCGAATCTTCCCCACTATTATGTAGATGTCTTTCGGTGGAATACCCCACTGATGCGCGGCAATCCGCGACAGCATTAAGCGCCAATAATGCAGAAGAAAGGCTACCGCGTCAAAGTTTTGAAGGGAACAGTTTCCAGGTACACCTGATGTGCCGTCAGATTTTATGGATGATAATGAAAATTTCAGCTAATGACATGGTTATGCTGTCAGAAATGGCTACATGTAATAACTCTGTAATATCATATCACGCGGAAACGAAAATAAGTTTGCCTAAGCAGAAAACAAAGGAAACAAAACTACTCAAGGGCAATTTTAATGATAAGCACAACAGTTAGTCACCGAGATCACTTTGTGTAAAATTATTTAACTCTAGATTTAATGCTTTGATGGCTTGTTCAACATTACGTTTGCACAAAAGACACGTCCTTCGAACCGGGCCAGTAGCCTTGCAACTCTTTTGTGTGTTGTGATATATTTTTATTACCTTACTACGGATTTATACGATTGAGGAAGACCTGGGACGAATAATACTACCCATAGTTCGTTGAACTTCAGCGGGCTTCAAGGATTCGATTCACACTATCTTAAAACGCATAAGATCCAAAAAGATGTAATACGATAGTGGTTTATCCCCCGGTTCTGGTGAGGCGCCACTTTTGTACTTCGAATTAGCCCCCTTGTACCTCGC